ACACTTATTCAACTCCTGCCATTTCCTGGTTCCTCACTATTTCCCTAGCCTCATATTCTACAGGGCCTATGTTCACTTTGGCCTCTTTCTTAAATTTAAAAGTTTTACTTCGATATTACTTGTTTATTTAAACTCAGATTTTATTTTCATTTTTATTGTTTGTTTATCATTTGGTTTTTAAAACATTCCCAATTTGATAATATCCTTAACTTCTTTGGTTAACCATATTCAGATTATCTCCTCCTAAGAATCCTTTCTTACTGGGATATCACAGAAATTTTATGGTGCAGAAGGATGCTATTGGCTCATGTACCTGCAATTGCTGTTCAAGATGAGCATCATTATCTAAGTGTCAATCTTTTGCTTTTTCCCTATACCCCTGCACACTATTGCTATCCAAATCATCCAATGACATCTTGAATTCCTCAATTGATCCTCCCTCCATCACAGTTCCAACTGCTTTTTGTACCCTCATTACTTGCTGTGTGATGAAGTTTTCACACATCACCCTTGCTGCTTTTGCACACCACTTTTAAATCTTTGATGTAAGGGTAAAGTCACTAGTCTCGCCAGACCATAGAGCTGTTCTCTTATTAGGGAGAGATGCCCTGGTGGTGGTTTAACTTGAGGGTCACCTCACTTCAGGCAAGGAGAGAAGTTGAGAAAGAGAGTAGTAACCTCAGCCAGTGTGGGAACTGAACCTGCATCACAAATCAGCCATCCAGCTAACAGACTTTGTTTGAATCATGAACTATTTTCTCAAACATCAGTCATTGTTCCTGAACTGTCACTAAGCTCCTTTGCCAGTCCACTCCAGCTAACTCTGTCCTCAACCCTTTGTAATTATCCTTATTAAGTTTTAAGCATAACTATTTATAACCCAATTTTTTTCTTCTCCAACTGAGTGCTTGTTTTTACCATGTGATGGTCATTTTTATAAGTGATCTTTTACTGAGATCACTTACGAAACCTGCCTGTTTAAGCAATACCCAATCCAAAGTAACATGATTGTTGGTTGGATCCACAGTATATTATACAACAAAACTGTCCCAAATACACTGTATAAATCCTTCCTCATGGCTACTCTGCCAATTTGGTTCTCAATCTGCATGAAGATCATAGCCATGACTAATATACTGCCTTTTTAAGATCAAACCAGTTAACCTCCATTTGTGCCATTAATTCATTTGTATTGTTCTGAATACTGCATGCATTCAAGGAGCCATTAATTTTGCCTTTTGAAATTAAACTACAAATTTATGAACTATAAAACATATATGAACTATTTTTGATAAACTGTAAACTTGATATTTTGCATGTCTGTAATCAGACTTTCATGAGAGGCTGTAGTGTAGAGTTGCCAATTTGGATGAATTACTGTAGGTTTTTTGAATGATATCGCATCTTGCAATGTGTTTCTGGCCTTCGCACGAGGGTCAAAGGCAAGCCATTTTGCATACAGGAGCTTGAAAATGTACTGTTTCTATGTATGTTCTTTGCACCTCCATACTTGTATTGTGACTATGAACAAAATTATGTACATATAGGTATTAAAAGTTTTTGTGCAAGGTGACCACCATGTGTATAATAGTGCCAGCAATGCTTTCCTAGGTGTTATTGTGTCTAATGGGGTCATTAGCACATTTACACTTTGTGTCCCTTTTTTTTTGGATCAAAGATGATGTGGAGGTGCTGGAGTCGGATTTGGGTGGACAAGTTCAGAAGTCACAAAACCAGGTTATAGTCCAACAGTTTTATTTGAAATTTTGAGCTTTTGAAGCGCTGCCCCTTCATCAGGTGAAGTGAAGAAAGCATACAGGCATAGAATTTATAGGCAGAGATCAAAAGGTCATACAAATGTTGATAGGCTAAATGATAAGTTTCTGCAGGTGATCAGAAGTGTCAGATAGTGTGAGTAAAGTATCAACAGCTGAATAGCAAGTGAGGGGATAACCTATAATCTGATTAATTGAAGCAGAGTGATAATTACAAAAAATTAAAAATGTGGTGCTAGAGACAAACCAGATGGCTGGAATAATACAATCTGTATAAGAGTTGTATGATGAGGGTCTAACCAAAGTAACAAGTAATCCAAAACTGTACAAACTAATTACGATAGAGAGAGATCATAACAAATCAAGGTGATGGTGGCAAAACAAGACAGTGAGATTGCACTAGTACAAAACAGTATGGTTGTGTCACATAGTGCAACCTGAACCTAAGATCACGGTTGAGGACATCATCATGGGTACGGAACTTGGCTATTAGTTTATCTGCCCAGCGCTTCTGCATTGTTGTGCATCTCGAAGGCCCCCTGGCAGGATGCTTACCAGAAGGTTGGAGGCTGAATGTCCTTGGCTGCTGAAGTGTAACCCTGGCTGGGAGGGAACATTCCTGACTGGCGATTCTTGCGTGGTGTCCATTCATGTAGTGTCTGCATGGTCTTGACAATGTACCATGTCTTGGGCATCCTTGCCTGCAGCAATGAGGTAGACAACATTGGCTGAGTCAAATAAGTATCTGCCATGTATGTGGTTGGTGGTGTTCCGATGGATGGATGGATGGTAGCATCCATGTCAATGATCTGATATGTCTTGCAGAGGTTGCCGTGGCAGGGTTGTGTGGTGTTGCAGTCAATTTTCGGAAGGCTGGATCAAAGATGTCAATGATAACATAGTGCGGAGCTGGAAGAACACAGCACATCAGGCACCATCAGAGGAGCAGGAAAGCTGATGTTTCGGATCGGGACCCTTCTTCAGTTCTTACTATCAAAGATGTCAATGTTGTTTTAATATCACCTCAGCAGGTATGAAAGTTACCAATTCTAACAGGGCCCATGCTTTTGAGGCGAGTTCTGAACCTGTGCCATTCGTAGTAGTAAAACATGTCACAAGCCCCTGAGCACTGCTGATGTCACCCGTCCAATTCCGCTCTCTAAAGCTGCTTGGAAGACAGATGTTGACACTTAAATGTAAGTGGCTGAGCCATGTACGCTGATGTCCTAGAAATAAATTTAAAATAAAAAATAATATAGAAGCAGGCCTCAATATAACACGATCCACCATTCTCAGTAAAATATGTACATGAAGGAAAGATAAAACAGAAATTGCAAATCATCGATGTAGCATTTTAAGTAGAGAGGGGGAATAAACAGGGTGCACTGAATGAAAGGTCCCCAACAGTAACAGAAGCAATGTTTTAGAAATCTGAAATTAAATAAGCAAGAAAGCCAACTAGCATCTGAGGACATAGACACATGGCTCTCTGCTTTTTCAAGTCAATGACCCCTCACGAGACAAGATGCAAGCCCCTGAGCCACGTGCGTTGTGGGTATCTAGACGCAATAACCGGTTATCGTGCAGCATGACTCAACGCGTCTGGGTGGTGCCTTCCGGTCGGGTTGGTTGGCGCAGCGTTTGAGGTGAGTGACTTGGCGGCGAGGGGGCCGCACTGGGACTGAAACTGGGCGATCGGAAAGGGTGACGCCAGGGGAGGCTAATGCATACCTCGGATGTTTTGCTGAAGAAAGCGGTACACACCTAGACCTGAAGTTATAATGGTCTAGGCCCCGTTGTTCGGATTTATTTTACTGTTTCTAATCTACTGAACATTAAGGAGAGAACTTGCTCAGTGTGACACACTTGTTCATTTGGCCGCAAGTTTAATATAAACTCCTCAATCGACCTCTTTCCACCCATAAGAACAGCTGACTGCCACACGTATTCACCCCATTTCCCCACAAATACCATCTGCTCCTTTCAAATTTCTTGGTTTTTTTTTGGATCTGACCGTGACCATGGAGTTTCACCGACTGGTACAATAACAACCTTTAAAAGGCTGGATACATGAATAGGAAGGGTTGAGAGGGATTTGGGCCAAATGCTTGCAAATGGGACTAGATTAATTTAGGACATCTGGTTGGCATAGACGAGTTGGACTGAAAGGCCTGTTTCCGTACTGTATAACTCTAAAAGTATGACGAACTTATTACAAAAATCTTCTGTAGCTACTAGCATGCAAATATTCACTTTTTAAATGAATTTTCCTCTTTCTTCAGCTGAATTACTATCGGTGCCTTCAATTGTAATGAATATAAATCAAGTATGAAAATAGGATAATGTGTATAATGTGCTTTAAATATTTTTCACTTGTTTGCATAAACATTTTACATAATACAATCTTCATCAAGTTAGTCCTTTCAAATTTAGATTGGGGTTGGTGTATGCTTTAGGAAAAAATCGTCAAATTTACAAAGATATCAGATTTGCAACCTTAGAAGTTATAGAGTCATACAGCTTGGAAACGGGCCCTTCAACCCAAGTTTTCCATGCTGACCAGGTTTCCTAAACTGAACTTGTCCCATTTGAATCAGAGATAGTAGGAACTGCAGATGCTGGAGAATCCGAGACAACAAGGTGCAGGGCTGGATGAACACAGTAGGCCAAGCAGCATCATAGGAGCAGAGAGGCTGACGTTTCAGGCCTAGACCCTTCATCAGAAAAGGGGGAGGGGAAGGGGGTTCTGAAATAAATAGGGAGAGAGTGGGAGGCGGATAGAAGATGGATAGAGGAGAGGATAGGTGGAGAGGAAACAAACAGGTCGAAGAGGCGGGGATGGAGCCAGTAAAGGTGAGTGTAGGTGGGGAGTTAGGAAGGGGATAGATCAGTCCAGGGAGGACGGACAGGTCAAGGGGGCGGGATGAGGTTGGTCGGTAGGAGATGGAGGTGCGGCTTGAGGTGGGAGGAGGGGATAGGTGGGAGGAAGAACAGGTTAGGGAGGCAGGGACGAGCTGGACTGGTTTTGGGATGCGGTAGGTGGAGGGGAGATTTTAAAGCTTGTGAAATCCACATTGATACCATTGGGCTGCAGGGTTCCCAAGCGGAATATGAGTTGCTGTTCCTGCAACCTTCGGGTGGCATCGTTGTGGCACTGCAGGAGGCCCAGGATGGACATGTCGTCTGAGGAATGGCAGGGGGAGTTGAAATGGTTCGCGACTGGGAGGTGCAGTTGTTTATTGCAAACCGAGCGTAGGTGTTCTGCAAAGCGGTCCCCGAGCCTCCGCTTGGTTTCCCCAATGTAGAGGAAGCCACACCGGGTACAGCGGATGCAGTATACCACATTGGCAGATGTGCAGGTGAACATCTGCTTGATGTGGAAAGTCTTCTTGGGACCTGGGATGGGGGTGAGGGAGGAGGTATGGGGGCAGGTGTAGCACTTCCTGCGGTTGCAGGGAAAAGTGCCGGGTGTGGTGGAGCTGGAGGGGAGTGTGGAGCGGACAAGGGAGTCACGGAGAGAGTGGT